TAGGGCCGCTCACTTCTCAGGAGAGAGCTCTAGGGCCTCTTCATTTCTCAGGAGAGAGCTGTAGGGCCCCTCACTTCTCAGGAGAGAGCTCTAGGGCCTCCTCACTTCTCAGGAGAGTCTTCAAGTGCCTCCTCACTCCCTAGGAGAGTGTTCTAGGGCCTCCTCATTCCCTAGGAGAGAGCTCTAGGTTCTCCTCACTTCTCAGGAGAGTGTTCTAGGGCCTCCTCACTTCTCAGGAGAGTGCTGTAGGGCCTCCTCCCTTCTCAAGAGAGTGTTCTATAGTCTCCTCACTTCTCAGGAAAGTGTTCTCGAGCCTCTTGACTTCTGGCCCTTCCTGGGCTCCTTGGTCGGGCCCCAAACCCTGTATCCATCACACATACCAGGATCCCTTTCTTGGCATGGGGATCACACTGACTCCCACTGGGTGCTGTCCCCATGCATGGTTTTTCACATCACACCGCTCTGCACACTTACCTCTTACAGCTGCAGCCTCCTGAGTCCAGTCTGAGCCCAACTCTCTTCCCTCCACTGAGCTCTGAACCCCCAACAAACTCAGTGCTGACAACAACTATGAGAAGCAGGGCTGTCCTCACCTAACCTCAGGGTTAGGAAGGATTCTGAGAATAGCCACTTGAATCCAGATAAAATGAGAAAACCCACTGAATTACGTTGACTCAGGATTTAGAGGGCTCTGTCCATGGTCATCCAGCTCAGAGGCAGAACCATCATGGCAAAAGAGCCTGGTAAAGCAAAGCTGCTTACCTCATGGGTCCTGGGAAACAGAAGGGGAAAGTAGAAACAAGAACCCACCCTTCTAGGTCCCTGCCCCAGGACCTCTCCTAGCTGCCCCTTCAGCTGTGTGAACTTGTCTTGAATTCACCCATGGGTGAGTTCAATGCCTCATGGTTGTCACTTCCCACAGCCTCTCTGGGTAGCCTTTGCAGGGATCTTCAGTCCTTACTGCATTTCCTGCACATCTTCCTGTCATCTCATCACCCACCCAGTGTGGTACCTCAGCCTCCTCCAGTTTCCCCTCCCCACAACAACCCCACCTGGACCACCCTCCTTCCTTGTCTGGACTCCTCCTACTGAGTTTCTGCCTTCAGTCCACTCTGTATGAGTGGTGTAACTCTGGGGGGAGGGGGTGGCGTTGCTGGGATTGAGCCCAGGGTCCTTGCAGTGGGTATTTTGAGACAGGCTTTCACTAAGTTGTCCAAGCAGAGTTTTAATTCAAGATCCTCCTGCCTCAGCCTTCCAGAGTACTGCGATTAAGAGACCCAGTAGTGCGATTCTTTTTCTAAGTTAGTGAGCTGATGTGACCTGTCATGTCCCCTCCAGTCCATCCATCCATGCTGCAACTCTGTCCAGCACAGAGCAAACCCAGCACCAGCTGAGGGTTGGGGAAAAGCTACCCCCAGCCCTGCCCAGCCACCCTTTAAATGTCGCCCTTGTGTGCTCCCAGGGTCACTAGTGTCACCCAGCTCTGGAAAGTTCCTCACCCTCCTGGCTCCCTGTCTACTTTTCACTGTCAAGGTCACCTTGTCACAGAGGCCTCTGGGGAAGAAGCACAGTGTCACCGTACCCCCAAAGGAAGGGGGAATGTGGCACCAGGAATCCACCCAGGGCTTGGTCTCATGGCCTAGTGCTCTTCTAGTGCAAACACTCGAAGAAAAAAGTAAATGCTGACAGCTCTCAAAAGCAAACACTTAAACATTAAGCCCTTAATGTGTGGTTATCTTTAAAATACTGTGCAGCACAGGGTACAAATGAGAAACTGTATTAAGGTTGGTTTATTGAACAAATCCACAGTAAGACGACCGTCATGGCACTGCCGCTAAAATCTGAATCCCCCATACTAGGATGTGACAGATAAGCCTCTAGTAGACTCTAGACAGGTCTGCATCAGATTGCTGTTTTCCTGGCTTCCCTTTCTGTGTGGGAACTAATCCCCATTGGTCAGATCCCTAAGGGTACTTTTCAACAGTGAGAAAGCAACATCAGTTTCCAGTGCAGACTCATTTTCATCAAAGCCATCTTATTTTCTTTGCCACCAGGAGCGTCGGCCAGGTGCTGTTTGTTAGCATAGGAGAGCAGAGAGTGCTTTCCACCATAGCTTCTCCCGCTTCTGATGTATTCGCGTAGGTTCAGCTGCTTCCCCGGCGGGACACATCCAGCCGGTGCGGAGTGCGGAGAATTCGGGCCATGTCTGGTACATGGGCAGTGGGACTGTGAGAAACACTAGGCTGGAAAGGGTCTTCACAGATACTAACATCCTGGGCACCTCCTGCCCTGCGCCAGTGTGGACAGCTCAGGTGGTTGGCAGGGGCAGAGGGACAGGGTGGGTGACAAGTCCTGCACATGCTGCCCAGCCTTCCTGCCAGGGCCGTGCCAGAGGCTGAGGTCCCTGAACTCCTGCTTTCTCCCCACAGATGAGCTTCGAGACCAGGACAGCATCTGTGACAGCGGTGTGGAGACCTCCTTCCGCAAGCTCAGCTTCATGGAGTCCCTGACAGGTGGTGGCCCATTGCTAACACTTAACAAAGGGCCCCCCGACTTTGGGCAGGAAGGACCCATAGAAGGAAAAATCTAGCTGCCAAGATGGTCATGCCATGCAACCAAAGCCAGAAAGTCCAGTACCTTGCCCGAGAGATGGAAGACCTGGCATCCAGAGGTGCTCAGCAGAAAGGCAGCCCTGGGCCGTCAGGCCACCACAGGCCTTTGAGCGCGGCCACCCCGGGTCCTTAGCTGAGTCCCAGCTGGGTCACGTCCAGGCAGGAAGCACCTGGCAGGCACAGCCCTGGAGCCGATAGCATTCCTGAGCGAGGGGTGTGTCGGTGTCACCGCTGCCGCTGGGTCACAGCTGCTTTCTCTTCCGTCGCTGCTGCTGCTGCTGTCCCTCTGCTGTGTCCCTGAACCCCTTCCATGACCACCCAGTGTCTCTCTAGCCGTCCAGGCACAGTATGTGCACTCAGATACTAAGGAAGAAGATATTTTTAGATGAGAGTCGCTTGGTGTGCAATAAAGAAAGGCTGCGCGTTTTCCAACGTGCCGTCGCTGTGATTTGCAAAGCACGCACTTAGCAATATTTAAACATGGTTCCAATCAGGGCTGAAAGTGGTATTTTCTCCCCTTTTTCTGCATTTTGCTATTGTAAATATGTTTTTTAGACCAAATACTTTAAAGGAAAAATGTTGGATTTATAAATGCTATTTTTTATTTTACTTTTATAATAAAAGGAAAAGCAAATGGTTGACCTCACTCTGTCTGATCTCTGCAAGTACTTCTCTAAGGTGATGTCTTCCCGTATGGGTCATCCGCAGTCTGGCCAGCACAACCACATCCCCCCTTAGACTGCATTTTTTGATCTAGAAATGAACACACACAAAAAAACAGTCAAAGGAAAAGTGTTTTAACCCAAGACGAAAGCTGTGGGCTCATCCAGGCCTGGTCCAGCTCTTCCTGTGGACACTGCACCTCTCTGATGCGTGAAGCATTGAAACGACACTGGTTTGGGGCCCTGGGCAAGGAGCCTTCCTGCGGGAGTCCCTGCTGAGCTGCTTTCCACCTGGGGTTGGAAATTAGACGAGGAAAACTCACGTTTAGGAATCAAATGCAATGGTCACACTACATACGCAACCAGTTTCCCTCTTTGGATTGTTAGGGCTTCTACAGTGCTGGGAGTGCTAGGCAAGGGCTCCCCACTGACCCTACCCGCCTGCCCTACCAGCCCTCTAACAAGCCCTGCCTGCCACTGCGGAGGGCCCGTGTCCCCTTCTCTGTCTGCCTCCATACAAGTCTCGTCATGGGGGTGCAGGACAGCCTGTCCTGCCTGGGTCATGCTGAGGCTGTGTGGGCCCAAGATCCCTGTGGTATGTCTATTCACCCCCCTCCAGTCATCCCTCCCCATCCCTCTGCAGCTGTTGGCCCCAGGGTCACTCCAAACAAATGTCCCCCACCCCAGCCTCCATCTCAGAGGACCCAGCCTTCCCACATGCTGGGAACCATGCCAAACAATTTTGCACAGCACACTAGGTCACTAAGTCACTTAGTTAACCCAATGAAGTATGCAGATATATCCCCAGCTTACAGAGCAGGAAACTGAGGCTTAGAGTTCACATAGACCATGCCTACAGTGCTTCTGGGTTTACGTCTGCTCTGGCCAGCTCCTGAGCCCATGAGCTGGGCTGTTGTCTTGGTAGGACATAAGGGTAGATAAAAATAATTGAGTATAGAAGTAAACTCCAGAATATATAGGACTGAATTATATGATAAAGTAAAATTTCAAATGAATGAGAAAAAAGGATTATTCAGTAAACAGATGTCCCAGCTGATGAGTCCACTGGAGCAGGAAGCATGAATAAATAGTCCTGAAGTAGGGATGGCCAGCTAAGCAAGGCTTTCTTCTCTGGTGTAAGAACAGTCTGGGTTCTAAAGTTCAGTAGGCCCCACACTCTCCTCACGGAACCACCAGATTCTGTTCCTGCATGTAGGTCGTTCAGTGATGCGGTTGTTAACTGACGAATTGTATACAATATGCACACGACAATATTCAAAGCAAAGAAATGGTCAGAGGAATCTCCAACTTGGTGACTTTGCTTTTATTTGCAATAACTCTTGCATGCAGTACTGTAACATATAAAAGAACATAAAACTACAGTGCTGTACTGGACAGTACAATCAGCAAAACTTACAGTGCTGTACTGTAGGAGAAACCACCACAAGGCCGCATGCTGCTCCCTTTCCGGAAGGGTAAGCTGGGATACAGGTCAGAAGTCCGAAGAGCAAGCCTCAGTCCTAAGTCCAAACTGTCATTAAACGGGTAGGTCAAACAAGGACTATGTTAAATACAATTTTTAAGACATTCCACTGTTTTCTCCATTGCTATTTTCTTCACCCCATGATTCTAGTTTTTGAAAACTGTATCTATAACACTGTCTTAGTCACTTTCTTGTCGCTGGGCCCAATATCCAACAGCCACTCTTAAAGATTTATTTTGGCTAACGGGTTATAGAGGCTTCAGTCCATAGTCGCCTGGTGCCAAGGCAGCATGGGGAAGGGTCTGCGGAGGACAGCCGCCCAGCTTACACAGCAGGAAACGGTGGACAAGAAGTAGAAAAGTCAAGAAGGCAGATGTGACCATCAGGTCATGCCCACCAGTGACCGCCCCTTCCACCAGACCCCACCTCCTATCAGCAGTCACCTAGGAGCCCTATAACCCCATCATCTCCTCAAGCTCTGCCTATGACTCATTAAATTTTGCAGGGACATCTAGATATAAACCGTAACAGACATGAAAAGGCACAGCTTTGAGTTTCTCAGATCCTCATGCAAGCAGTCTGTGCCCCATGCCCCTGCTGGCTTATTGGGTGGCAGGTGGCCATTTTTCCTTGGACCACAGAGGGATCCTATCTTCCTGAGTGCAGATCCCTCCCACCCAAGCAGTGAAGGCTGCCTTCCCCCCTGAGAGTGTGGGTGCCCATCACTGGCAGGAAAGAGGCAAAGTGACTCCCTGGCCTGGTCACAAATGTAGCCCAACTCTGCCCAGCCCCGTGGGGCACCCCTTCCATGACCCCAGCTGTCATGCTCCGAAGATGCATGGCCACCTCGCAAAGCCAGCATGGACCCCAGTGTGACCAGCAGCCCCAGCCCAAGGCCCTGTCTGGCCTTCATGCTGCTGGGCTGTCATGGGACACGAGCTGTCCTGCCGGGCACATCCGCAGGGGCAAATCACAGACCCGCTGCACTTGTAGCCTGGGTGGGTGGACTGTTCTGGACAGTCCTGGACCAGAATCCACTCTACACAGAAGCCTAGCTGGGAAGGAAGACAGACTGGCCCACTCATGCCAAGATGGAAACGGAGCTCACAGCAAGGAGGCCACTTCTCCTTGGTTCCAGAGCCGCCTCCTCAGGCCTCAGCTGCTTCCACCCCAGCCACAGGGTGCAGGGAAGCAGGAGGTCTACAGAGCTACTGAGTGCCTGGAGTGAGACTGCTGGCTGCCCGGCAGGGGTGTGCTTAAAAATAGCTTCCCCAGATGTGAGCATCTTGAGTCTCTGCTCTTGCAGGCCAGGTGAAACCACACCTCCAAATCTTCCTCCAGAAGCATCAGGGTGCTCTGGGTGTCCCTCTCTGCTGGAGTGCCCACAGTCCTTCTGGGGGGCACCTTGTGGGTTTCCACAGAAGTAGAGAGAAGGCAGGCAGGAGCACCTGAGTCAGCTGGGGATCTCTAGTGCTGATGCCAAAGACACCCCTTTGGGATGTATCTAACCCCACTCTATGGCAAGGACAGGAGACCCAGCTGCACTGCATGCCCCGAACTCCAACCCAGGGCCACCTGCTCCAAAGACTGTTCTCTGAGGATGTCTGAGTAAGTCTGTGGAAGAAAGGACGCTGTCCCAACAAGTCCACTCAGCTCTATAGGACGATGACATCATAGTGCCCCAAGCCCAGTACACGCTGAACCTGGAACGTGGCTGAAAGCACACCTGTGACTCGATTTAACCCCCTGCTAACAGGCCAAAATGCTTATGTAGGAATTGCTGCCCACCTCCTCCTTCCTATTCTGTGCTTTTCCAGGGGAGTTTTCTTTCTTCTTGCATGTCCCCAGGGAGAGGATGTGGGGAGGCACAAGGCTGAAGGGGACATGGCCCAAATGTCCAAGACTCAGTCTGGATGAGATCTAGACTGCCTGCCTGAGGGCTGGGGCTGGAGCATCATATACAAGGCTGTGGGTCTGAGCCCAGTACCAATAAATAAATAACTAAAAACCAGACACAGGCATAGTGACACACACCTGTAATCCTACCCTCAAGAGGCTGAGGCAGGAGGATTGCTGCTAGTTCAAAGCCAGCCTGAACTATATATATTAAAAAAAACCCTGTCTCAAAAAGCCAAAAAGCAAAAATAAAACATAAACAACTAAAAACTAAAAAAGGACTGAGCATGGTGGCACACACCTGTAATACCAGCACTCAGGAGGCTGAGACAGGAGATATCAAGTTTGAGGCCAGCCTGGGCTACATAATGAGACTCTGTCTCAAAAAAAAAAAAAAAAAAAAAAAGGAAAGAGAGAAAGAATCCGCCTATCTTTGCTCCATCTTTGTAACTGCTCCACAACAGGACCTGGGTGACCGTGACCATGGTAAGCAGCAGCGCCAGCGCTAACCAGCATCTACTCCATTCCAGACCCTCTGTCCTTACAGTGGCTTCTGCAGGCCAGGGATGATGGTCTGCATCTCACTGGGGCTCGGCAATTGGCGCTGCTGCACACAGCCACATGGCCAGGAAGCCTCAGCAGGTGCCTGGTTGGAAGCAATGTGTCTTATGCTGGCCCTGCAAGGACTCCAGCGCAGGACCCAGGGATGCTCCCACCCACAGAGCCACACCCATTGGCCAGATTATCTTATTCTCCAAAACAAACAACATGGCAAGTGTTAGTATTCCCATTGTTTTGCTTGTTGGTTTTTAGACAGGGTCTCCCTATTACATTCCAGGCTGGCCTTAAACTCAGTAATCCTCCTGCCTCAGCCTCCTGTGTGCTAGGATTACAGCGTGCACCCCACACCCAGCAATCTTGGGCTTATTATTCCCATTTTACCACTTAAAAAAGTAAAACACAGAAGTTAGGTAACCTGATTAAAGCCGCAGAACTTCGGGTAAGCTCCAGCCAGTGCACATCAAAGCTCCCCCTCCAGGCCATCAGATAGCCTTTTCCCCACAGGGCCCAGCCTCACAGGCACAGCGAGGAACCTGGGTGCTGAGGGGAGGACTGGTGGCCGGCATTCACTCTCCTTACACACACAGAACCTAATGCTTCTCCATTTAAGACCAACACCTCTGCCCGGCGAGTCCACTCGCTGTGCTCCAGTTCCTCCCCAGTGATGTGGCTGCTCCCACAGCAAACCTTTCTAAGTCTCGGCTAGGAGCCCGCAGCTGCCCCACTTATCAAGTGGACATGAGCAGCCAGCACAATGTCCACAGCATGATTCCACAGGTCACAGGTGAAGATCAAGTTGTCAGTGCAATTTACACAGCTTTTATTTCTATATCATTTCAAACTTAGAGAAAAACTGCAGAACTAATACAAAAATTTCACATAGCTGTACTCACATTTGGTACATGTTAACATTTTGCCCCCTATCTCTATCAATGTAATGTTGTAAATGTGATAGTAAGTCAACAATTTTAAAGCAACTTACAGTTAATCGATGTAAAGAAATGATTTAAACTGTTGATAAAAGTAACATCATTTTAGTGCCAGGGCTGACAGGCCCACATTAATCCAGGCCTTTGAACTGGAAAACTCATTGGATTCACCCAAATCTGAAGCCCACCCCACATACATGCCAATGTCAGGACATCCAAAACTTCCAGGGCCCACAGTGATTTCAATGCCAGTTTATTTTTCAAAGGATCACACTAAGGGTCTTGTGAAAAATAAGTTATTGTTACTAAAGCAGTATTTTATTTAATAATTCAAAATGACAAGCAATCTTACTCCCAAATAGTAACCAAACAATGATCAGCCCCTAAACAGTCTGGGAATAATGATCAACGTGACAGTCACCGAGAAGCCCGTCATTCTGAAGACTGAACCCACAATAACCGGGCTTCTCGGTGAGATTACTCAGCAAGACAGAAGCAGGGGCGAGGGAGGTGCTGGGAACAACTGGATGTGCTATGTACAACTCCCCCAGTGAGCATGATCATTAAGTACTACAAACTTGTGCTAATAAAAACAAAAATTAAGAACAGTATTTCTCGATGCTGACTATGAAAGGCCTACGGGACCTCATAGCCTCCCATGTGCGGTTCCACAGACACTGCCACTGTCCCCTTCCTGTGAACTCTTGGAAGGGCCCTAGTGACAGCACCTGTGGGGTTAACTCAGGAAACGAGCCCAGCCAGGTCCAGGAACGCGTACGTGCAGCCCTGCCTGAGGACGTCACCTGCGGACACGCACAACCGGGCCCCTTCAGTAAATGTCCATCAGGGAAGTCACACGAAGAGATCGCTGCAGGTCACTCTTGCTGGTGGGTGCCCACGGGTGAAAAAGAACAGTCTGTGTCTTATTGGTCATAAGGAATCCGTTGTCGCTGAACCTCCCCGGGACACTTCCTACGTCCAACCACACGAAGGGTGCTACCGCCGATGTCTCCAGGTCAAAGGCAAATGTGTCGCCTTGTTGGGAGATGGTGGCCTGGAAAAAAAGACAAATACCCAGACAGGTGAGGGAGCAGCCAGGGGTCTAGCGCCAGCCTGGGGACGTGGATGAGCCCAGGAGGAGCCTACCCCCAGTACCTCCTCCACTGTGCTGAAGTCACATGTCCTGTGTACGGGGTCAGACATTCAAGTGCTTGGAAAATGACTTCAGTCTGTGGGAAATAACCAAACTAATAATTTCAAATTATTATGTGGCTCCGAATACTAAGGAGAGCATTTCACAAGGACCCCGAAGCTTTCTATCTCTGATCACTTTTCTCAGAGCAGGAAAGGACCATCCTGTGTAAGGGCAGTGGCGTAAGTGACCTACGGACACAGGACCTGGCTGCAGACAAGGCCACTCGCTGAGCCTCAAGGCGCCGAAGCCCACGCCATCTGGACATCAGCCTGCAGGCATGCGCAGACTGCACAGGACAGTGACCCTACGAGCACTTGTGACGCGTATGAATCCTGCACAGGCGCATCGAAGGAGCGTGGGGGGAGCCAGGGAGGCTCATTCCACTTGCTCAGCCCTGAGCACAGCAGGGGGCATTGAGCTGTGCCCCGAAGGTGCGGCTGCGAGGACAGTGTCACAGTGACCTCGGCATTCACCACACAGCTCCTTGACACGCAGACCCGGGGTGGTCGAAGAGGATGGCGAATGCTTACATTTAAAATGTTTATTACAGTAAAGGACACATGGCCACAAACCACGCCAAAAATCCTCCCCCTCAGTCCAAACACACTGATCACATCATTCTTGCCACTTTCTCAAGCAAGTATGGAGTCCTCTTCCCTGAGTGTCTTTATGAGCTATGATCAAGACCTCAGTGAATGCTGCTGCCAGGGTGCCATCCAACTGAAAGGAGGGGTCCCCAAAACACAATGCTGTGGCCTCATCCCCCTCACTCGCTGGGTCTGACTCCGTGTGACTCCAGCTCTTCCCCAAAGTCAGAATGACCATGAAAGGGAAATAATTCAGGACCGAGGCAGCCACAACAGCACAACTGAAGACACTCATGAAACAGAAAGTGGCAAGAACAGTGGGGTAAGTGTGTTCCAAGCAAGGGGGAGGGTGCTGAGGGAGACTCATGCCAGTGTGTCTTTTACTGCATTAATTCTTCTTTGATCATTCCTCATCCATGCTATGCTACAGGGTCTTTCATTATGTGTGACGTGTGACATAAAGTACTTCAAAGCGCATTTTTTACTATAGATAACTTGGCCCTAAGGCACTTGCATGATTATCATTCTAGGTCCTCAATTATAAAAAGAAAACCTACACTGACAGGAGCAGAAGACACTTGAGTGCCCTGGGGACACCCGGAGGGGTAGAGACTCAATCTGGGGGTGGACGCTGAACGGCAAGGCAACTTCCTCTGCTGCTGTGAAGAGGAGGCAGCCACAGAGACAAGACCACCCAGCTTCTCGAGCTGACCCAGAGTCCAGGCAGCTGGGGCATGGCCACCTCTCCTGCTGCTGGACCCCTGGCCTCCAAGAGAGGGTCAGCAAGTGCTCAGCCACGCCAACCCCCCAGGGATGACAACGAACGCCAGGGTTACCCGAGGATGAACAGGTCTCACCAAAACACAAGTGAGAAAAGACAAGAAGCCCTAGTTAAAGAAATAAAAAACGTTTCCTAAGTCATCCATTTAGAAGCCAAAGCTTTGTCCAGTCCAGTTTCGTTTTTGTTTTAGTTTTCTTTCTTTCTGGAAAAAAAAAGCTATTTAAACATAGTCACCTCTTTCCTATCTGTGCTACCTCAGTCGTTACTGAGAACTTGGACATTGTTATGTGAATATTTCACTATTAATTTGGGAAGAAGGCATGTTTTCAACATTTATGCCCTTTTCAAAAAAAAAAACTGCAAAGACAATTTTCATATGATTATTTCTAAAGTCAATTTTAAAAAGCTTTCTCAATGAAGTAAAAGTGTAAAATAAATTTTTTAAAACAAATTTAAAATTTGTTAAAAACAGAAAGTGAAACTTTCTAGAAAAATGCTGTCAGTTACTATTGGGGGGGTCTTCAATCAGCCACAGCCCACGCCCTCCAGGGGTACAAGTTTTATAACAGCACAGCCTAAACAGCCTTTTTTTTTTTTTTCTTGGCAATTATAGGCATTTGGTGATTAAGTCATAGATCAGCATGCACAGTGATTAACAGACCAAACTCAAAGTTAAAGCTGGGGTGCGGCATCCTGCGCTGCTTGGTCTCCGGAGGGTTTGCTCTCTGGCACAGCACAGAGGCTAGCACCATCCTGCAGGTCAGAGGGGACGCAGCAAAGCACCCGGGTCACAGTGTGGGACCCATGGGGTATAGTCAGTGGGAGACTGGGGTGGAAACTAAACCCTTGGACAAACCCTTCCTGCAAGTGAAAACCCTCTGGTCTTTGCATCCAAAGTGAAAGGGTGTCTCCCCCAGGCCACAGGTCACCCCAGAACCAAGCAGGCAGTGTGCAGCTAGGATGCAGCCCATGGGCAACCTGGCTTACCGTGATGCGTGCCTTGAGCAGCCCCTTGGCATCCTTTAGGGAGGACAGGAAATGATAGTTGACTGGGCTCACGCGCCCACGGCCCTCTGAGAGGTAGAAGGAGAACACGCAGGTGTGCCGGGTGCAGCTCCCGCACCTGCTCAGCAGGTGGGCCACGGGCTCACTGTACAGATGGGTAGCGGCCCCTGCCTTCATCACCAAGGGCTTCGTGGTGTGGGCACACTCAGGCTGCAGGGAGCTCCAGGAGTGCACTGTCAGCTGAGGAAGGAAGCGGGAAGAAGGAGCACTGAGCGTGGGGACGGCCACTGCAGTGGGGACAGCACACCTGTTAGAGGACGGCAAAGCCAGGTTTTAATCCCAGGCTGCTGAGTGCTGGTCATGTGACCAAGTCCCCAAACCCCCCAGCCTCTCTTTCTCCACGTGGACAAGGAGGACAATGGCCGCACAGGCTTCACAGGCAGGGGTGAGAATTGGAAAACCTGTCCCAGGAGGCCACAAGGTACCCTATTCATGGCCACTTCCAGTGTGACCAGTGTACTCCAGTGTGGCCAGCCATCAGAGGCTTGCTGTCCTTTTCTCTTTTCTGAAACTTGTTATAAATGGAAGTTTATTTTTCTACCTACCCATTCTGGATAGTCTGACTGACTTCAACCTTAACATACCAAGTTTTACCAGTTCTTTTTGCAAAATTTGGACTGTTGCCTGCTTCTTGTGCTGATAAATAAGCTTACACTTCCATCACACTTTGCAGTTCGTATAATTCAGGTAATGCACTATTCACAGACACCTCCAGGGCAGTGAGCTGCTGCATCACCTGACAGACAGAATGCTGACTTGCCAAGCGGTCCTGCAGCACACGGCAGAGCCTTACCTGACTGCTGTCCAAATAGTATTCTGATCCCAAGGACAGCACATTTTCTACTACAGGTACTAAAAATATTTTGATGCAAATTAATTTCTTTCCTATTTATCCCCAAAGCCATAAGCTATTCCTATTTATTCCCAAAGCCATAAACCAAAGCACTAAGGAGCTGATCTCCAGTCCTCGGTGTCCGAGAGCAAGGGCCCCAGCGACTCACAGTGAGCATCACATTCCGGTCCTCATGCAGGTCGGACACGCCGTGAATGTAAAACACGTCCTTATCCTCAAAGCCCACGGGCAACAGTGGGTCGAAGAAACGCCGGGCGAAGTAGTGCAGCATCTTCCATTTGCCGCCATACTCTGTGGACAGTGAGGAGGTCGGGGAGGCCAGGGCCAGCTGGCTGGGCCCCTGTTCCTACTGTCCCCGTGGCTGGCTATAGGGCTGGCAGGAGTTTCCAGGGTGAGGGAATCAGGGGCTCACACAGTTAGGGCTCTGGGCATCCTGGGCATCCTCTCCTGTCACAATGGCCTTCCGTCTTGTTTGACCCAAAGCTATTATTTTTACTACTATCTAAACTCTGCTTCAGTCACCTCCAGGACAGGCTAAAGACTCACCCTTACTCCATTTTTGCTAACTATACCCAAGTAGATGGGATCCCTCAAACTACAAGCTCCACGCCGATCTCTCACCTGCTGCTAGTGAACCGGGAAGGTTGCCAGTTCAACCAGCAGGCAGCCTGGGTCTCTGACTCTATTACCCTCTTGCCCCTGAAGTAAACGGTATACTAAAGATGATCCTAGAGAGCAACCAAGTCAGAGAAAGAAGCACTTCAGCAGCTAAGTGGGCCAATCTTCCCCTGGGCAGACCTTTCCTACACTAAAGAAGGGATGTTCACATTCATGCTGTGGGAATGCTCTTTTAAAAATTCACATTCTATGCAATAATTGCAGGATACATGTCTGGGACCTCTGGACATGACCTGTCCTTACTGGCCTGCTGTGACTGCACCCACAGTGCTCAGAGCCCCCTTTGGGGGTCAGGGTAGGATGTCTAGTGATTGGCTTGGGAGCCACCCTGGAGATTGGAGGGGCACACTGCTAGGCGTCTGGATGGGTCATAAGTGTGAACTTGGGGTCTATATTTGGTCCTTGGCTCCTTTCTCTCTGGCACTGCTGCCCTGCTCTGCTTCCCGGCTACCATGTGGTGAAAATCTTCCCTCTGCCAGGTCCTGCTGCCATAATGGTTATGCCTTGGAGCCAGCTGACCATGGACTGAATCACCTGAAACTGAGAGCCACTAAACTTCTCCTTTAAATTCTGGGCATCAGGTATTGTGTCCCAGTGATAGACTAATATACATTACTGCTAGGGCCGAGGAAACAGTGCTGATATAAGCAGGGGCTGTGAGTCACACACCTGGTTCCAACAGCCTCGTGGGCCCCAGTTCTGCCTCCATTCACCTGACCCTTCAAGCTCTGTGCTTTCTTAGTCCCTCTCCCTTGGGTCTTGCTTCTCTCCCTGATACAGAGGACAGTGAAGCTCTTACCTAGAGAGGCCCAAGAAGGAGCTGGCCAGATGTCATTCAGCTGCCAGTAGAGCGCCCCCATGGTGTGGCCCTCACCATTCACTATCTCGCTGCGGCTGCGGCGGTAGAACTCAGTTTCTGTCTTGATGCACTGGGCCTGCACCACCTGATTGGGGGAGACATCCACACACACAGGCGTTAGTGTGACTAGGCTGCCTAGATCTGATGGAGTTACAGTAGGAGGGGCTCTGTTTTTAGAGAAAACTGGATGTACGAGGCAATTTGGTTAGCAATAGGAACACCATTATCACACTAGGTCTGGAGCTAGCCCCAGGGAGCGACAGCAGCTGCTGTAACAGAAGGTATGTTTGGGAGGCTTGGTGCTTGATTTATTATAACAGTGGATGATAGGTGTGGTGGCGCACACCTGTAATCCCAGCACTTGGGAGGCTAAGGCAGGAGGATCACCTTGAATTGGAAGCCAGTCTGGGCTACATAGCAAGACCCTATTTCAAAAAGCAAACACACACAAAAAAAAAAGGTGACAGAGGAAATAGGACCTTTTACAAGGGGACATGGGCTGTGCTGAGGTGTTTCCCACGGAAACGGGAGTGATGCTGGGAACTGGACTGAGGTCACACATGTTTCGCTGTGGTGAAGAAGGAATGCATTTGGCCCACATCCTGCAACTGATGAAGGCTGGGCTTACAGGTGATGGATGACTTCATCAGACAGAGAATTTCAAAGCAATGAAGCCCTCAGGCTGCAGGTTGGGCACTGCTGCCTGCTTTTAGCCAGATTTACAGAGAAAATCAACAATAAGGAGCAGAGAAAATTGAAAAGTGTGAAGATGGGCCAGGAAAAGAGCTGTAGAGGGCACATTCGATAGCTTTGCACAGAGATCGCAGGAAAGAAGCCTTTAGGGCATCTCAAGAATTGGCAAGGGTCACAGGCTCAGAGACACGGCACACCAGAACAATGATACAATTCTGGTTCACTGATTTTCCACAATTTTCGCTCAACAATTCTCTTTTGAGAAGAGAATCCCAGGGTCCTTGCTCACCCCAAATTGCCCAGGCCAGCAAGGCACTCAGAGATCACGACACAGTGGCTCCAGCAGTGCAGACACAGCTCAGGCCAGCAGCAGGCCCTCACCACTCATGTGACGCAGTGTTGCAGGTGCTCAGATTGTGAGGGTTGATGGGGTCGCAGAGGCTTCTGCCGAGACTTCAAAGGCAAGGCTGGTAGGCCAAGCAGTGTGCTGCAGGACAGAGTCCATGCAAGCAGCCCCTGACAGGGTGCGATCAGAGTTGGCCTGTGAAATAGCTAATAGCAGGGCTACAGGAGTAGGGCTGTCCATGCCCCGGGGAGCCCACGTCTGCCCATCGGGGACCTGATGCTGAACACAGAGCTTGAGCAGTCAGTACCTTGCTGGGGTCTGGTCTTCCTTTGGTCTGACTCTATCCTTCAGAATGGGACTGTTTGCCCTGTGCCTCCATGGGAAGACAGATTTTCCTTGTTTAACGACCTACCTATTCAACAGCTGTTCGGACTTGTGACCTGCTGCTCAGACTTAGGGTCAGTCTTTTGTTTATACAGTCCTGTATATCTTGTTGATAGAGCCTTACTGTCTTTTTTGTGCAGTACCGCTTGTTTATAAGTACTGTGATTTTTGCTGAGTACCACTACAGTACAATCTTAGTTGTATGTGGTTATACATTACAGTACCGCACGTAAAAGTTCTGCAAATAAAAGCCAAGTCTTCAAGTTGGAGCTTCCTTTGACCATTTCTTTACTCTGAATATTGTAATGTGCATTCTGTATAGAATTCTTCTGTTAGCAACCAATTCACTTAACAACCTACTCACAGGAACTGAACTCGTCATTAAACGAGGACAGTCTGTGTCAGTCGTTCTCTGACTTCCACAAGCTCACAGTGGAGTCTACCTCAAGCCTCAGAGGAGACATTGACTGGGACTTTTCAGCAAGGCTGGAACTGTTAGACTTTAGGGTCCCGCCGATGGCTTCAGCGCACGTTGCACTGTGAGACATGAATCCTCAGGTCAGGGCCAGAACGCTATGGTCTGAATGTGTCCACCAGAGGTCCACTGGTGAGGGCTGGGCCCCAGCATGGTACTGCAGGAAGGCGATGAAAACCTTAAGCGGTGAGGCCTGGGTCACAGGGGTGGTCACTTCCTCTCTCTCACACTTCCTGCGTGGCCCTGTCACACTCCTGGGATAACGTTCCAACATGCGTGAGCCATAATCCACTCGAGGAACCAATGGATTATGGACTGAAATTCTTAGAACTGTGAGCCAGAATAACCCTCTTCTGTCAGTTGACCATCTCAAGTATTTGCTTTGGTGACAAAAAGGTAGCGCATACATGCACCCTCGCATAAACGTGCAGAGACTGCTGCTCACCACACTTCCCAAAGCGATGCTGCAAATCTCAATTCCTCAGGAAACCTCTGGAGCTATCGTGTAACCTTTAAAAAGTCCCGAAGTTTACACACCACGCACCCTTTTCTAGGAGAGCAGTCTTCACTGCAGACGCTCATCACTCTCCAGCTCCCTCAGCCCCTCTGTGAGCAGGCACATCTTATTTTAGTTTTTAAAATATGCCGCTTGCAGCAGCTTGCTTGATTCCACTCATGAAACTCAGCTGGGCATGGTGGTGCACACCTGTAATCCCAGCACTCAGGAGTCTGAGGCAGGAGGATCTTTGCAACTTTGAGACCAGCCTGGGCTACAAAATGAGTTCAAGGCCAGTCTGAATTGCATAGTGAGACCCTGTCTCAAAAAGATGAAAAAAAGAAAGAAACAAACAAACAAAAACAAAAAAAAAAAACAAGAAATCAGCCTCATTAAGGGACAGATGGGGTGGTGAAGAGGAACTGGGCCAGAACCTGAGGCCTAGGCCCTGTGGCCAGCCCTGCCACTGTGATGGGGTGGCCACTGTCTTCCAAAAAGCCCATTCCCTTGCTCAAATGACAGGACTGTCCTGCACTGCCTCTTTCAGAGACAGACTTGGGAACTAGAGCAGCCATGTGACTAATTCTTCCCAATTTTTAGATATTTTCTTTATTGTCCTGATAACAAACTTCCAATAGGGCAGTTTTTCAAACTGAAATATAAATCATTTATCACACATAATTTGCCCTTTGAACATTTATGATTAATTGGTTTTTTAGAGTACGCATAGATTGTAAAAATCTTTCCATAATTCATTGCCAGAATATTTTCGTCACCCCAAAAAGAAACACCATACTGGCTAGCAGTCACCCCGATTTACCCTCTCTCCAGATTCTGGAAACTACAATTCTACTTCCTGTGTCTCCATTTACCTATTTTGGACATTTCATGAAAATGGATGGGTCAGTTCATGGCTTTTACGTCCTGCTTCTTTCACTAGCATTTTCCAGATTCATTTGTGCTGTTAGCATGCATCAGCTAACTTTCTCTTTCTGAACACTGTTTCAGCCCATGGGTGAAACCTTTTGTTTACCCATTCAGGCGGATGAACATCTGGCTCTTTCTACATTTTGGCTAGTATGAACAACGGAGCTACGAACACTGTGCACATGTTTTTGTGGGAAGACAGGTTCTGAACTCCTTGGGATATGCTAAGAAGCAGAATGACTGGACACGCCAACTACACACCTGATGTGCTGAGGAACACACAGCATATGAGCCACTTTACATTCACACCAGCAGTCAGGAGGGTTCTAACCTCTTCGCATTGGTGCCAATACTTGTTTTCTCTTGAAAAAGATACTCTATACAATCCTAGTGGATGTGAATGCTATTCATAATTCTGATTTGAATTTTCCTAATGGCCAATGATGCCAAGCAACTTTTCATGTGTTTCTTGGCCATTTTCTCTAAACAAATATCTTTTTTTCCAGGCACGGTGGTGCATGCCTATAATCCCAGCACTTGGGAGGTTGAAACAGGAGGATCACTGCAAGTTCAAGGCCAGCCTGAACTACATAGTGATACCCTATCTCAAAAAAGAAAAGAAAAGAAAGAAATACATATCTGTTCAAAGCCTTTACCATTTTTAAAATTATCTTATCCATCACTGAATGTTAAAATCTCCTTACACAGTCAGGTCAGTAGATCCCTATCAGATGTATATGATTTGCAACACTTTTTTCTCCCATTGTGTAGATATTCTTTTTTCTTTCTTGATAGTGTTCTTTGGCATACAAAAGTTTTACATTTTGATGAAGTACATTTCATCTATTTTTTCTTTGGTTGCTTTTCAGTATTCCATTTAAGAAACTGTTGTCTAATCAAAAGTCACAAAGATTTATACCTATATCTTCTTTTAAAGGTTTTATAGTTTTAACTCTTACATTTAGATCTTAGATGCAGTTTCAGTTAACTCTGTATATGATATGAGAGAGGGCTCCCAACTTATTCTTTTCCTTATAGATATCAAGCTGTTTTAACACCATTTGTTGAAAATACTGTTTCTTTCCTGATTTTGTTAACTTGGGAATGTAAATCACTGTAGCTGTTATAGGCAACAGTATGGAGGCTCCTCAGAAAATCAAAAATAGAGCAGCATATGCTCGAGCAGTTCCTATGCTGAGTCTGTGTCCAAAGGAAATGAAATCAGTGTGTGGCGGCCACATCTGCAGTCCAGGCCACTGTAGCACAGGTCACATCAGGCAGGACAGGGAATCATGCAAGCATCTGTCACGAGAGGGGCAGCACATACATGAAGGAATGCTTCTGGTCTTTGAAACAAAGGAAATCTGGGCATTTGTGACATGGGTTAATCTGGAGGACATTATGTTAAATGAAACAAGCAAGACCAAAAAGAAAGACACCCTATGATCTCACTTACACGCAGGGTATACAGAGAGTAGAATGGTCACCAGGGGTGGGCAGGGGCACTGGGGAGAGGACAGTGCAGCTGCAGTTACCCAGGAAGAGGAAGCAGCAGAGCTCGACTGTGCAGTGTGGTCCCAGGCTAAGAACAAGATGCTGCATGCTTGAAAGCAGTGAAGAGAGAGGATTTAATGTTCTCACCATGAAAAAGGAATGGTATGTGAGTAATGTGTATCTTAAACTGCCTGATTATGCCATTTCCACAATGTGTGTATATGTACACCATGTTCTACACTATTAAAATGTGTGTGTATAATCAATTAG